CTGCACATTAGTGCACCTAGGCAATCTGCGTATGTGCAGACCTGTGCACCGCTGCGAGACCCGCAGTCCCTGACAATTTGATTGAGAAATAATAATGCTAGTATCAATATGAGAGAGCCCTCTGGTTATCAGAAAATGAAATCCGAAGCAGAATTGAAAACCTATACAAATAACCAGAGTGGATGGCTTACACCCACATGTCCTAAAGGAGCTTAGCTTGCGATAGTCAAGCCACTCTTCCTGATGTGTAATAACAGGAATGGTACCAATTGACAGATGTAGTGCAAATGTGCTTTCAAGATTCTAAAAGGGTCAAGATGTGTACCAGGGAACTAAGACCAGTCAGCATTAGTTTGTTTTATTAGTTTTTGTTAATTAGTTATTAGTTTGCAAGGTGTTGGGTGAGGGACTCTACCGATGATTTTTAGGTCTATTGGAGTGGAAATAATTATATGTATTTATATAAAGGGCTGGCTTCAGGAAGGGGTATAGAGGGAAAACGATTCAGCTGTTAAATGGGCTAGAGTAACAAGCGGTGTGCCGCAGGGTTTTGTTTTGCGGCTAATACTGTTTAACTTATTCATAAATGATATCGAAATTGGTATTAAAGTGGTTGTAAAGGCTGAATGCTTTTTACCCTCGTGCATTCTATGCATAAAGATAAAATACCTTCTGTGTGCTGCTCCCCCCACAGCCCCCCAATACTAACCTGAGCCCCCTCTAGATCCAGCAATGTGCACAGGAGCCTCAGCAGTCCCATGTCTCTTTCTCCTCATTGGCTAAGACACAGCAGCGGGAGCCATTGGCTTCCACTACTGTTGATCACAGCCAGTGAATCAATGAGGAGAGAGTGGGAGCGGGGCCAAGCTGCGCTCTATGTGTCTTATGAATGCATAGAGCGGGCTCAGGAGCAAGCCCGCACCAGTGTCCCCCATAGCAAGTGACTTACTATTGAGGGCAACGTTTAAGGGTGAGGAGCCAGGAGCACCAGTGGTAGACCCAAGAAGAGGATCAGGGCTGCTCTGTGCAAAACTATTACATAGAGCAAGAAAGTATGACATATTTGTAATTTTTAAAAAAAACAACCTTTAATATCACTTTAGGCTCATTTCCTGTATTTGCAATAAAAATTATACAGTGAATTAACTTCAGCACAGGAAGTAACTTACACAGGAAGATATGGACAAAATAAGGGGCTGAGACCTAGCAGATGAGGCTTAACCTCCCTAGCGGTATGATTATTTCAGATTTTTGGTGCTGAAAGCGGTACCATTATTTTGCATGGAAATAAGTAGTTTTTTTTATTGTAGGCTGTAATTTTTAGGAATAACTCACTGAAATCTGTCCGAACAAGAGTCTAGTAAACATCCGGTATGATAAAATTTGAAACACGAAATCATAAATTATAATTTAATAAATAATCATAAAAAATAATAATATAATAATAATACATTTAATTCAATAATATAATCAAACCAAAAACACTGAAATTTGAAATAGAGCGCCAAGTTTGCACATAGCTGAGCTCAGTCGCAGAATTGTTTTCAGTGTCTGATGACAAATTTCCCCACAAATCATTATCACTCAATTCTGCAAGTGGTTCTGATTTACTATCGCTGTTCTCTAGCTGATCTAAACCAGCTTTTGACCTAAAGGGACGCTTTTTGGACGCCATGGACTTTTCTCAGTTTCCAGGCAGAAAGAACAGACAAAATGCAGGCAGGGCACAGGACAAAGCACTAGGGACAAAATGTATGTGAAGTGGGTTGAAACAGCAATGTTTTACTATGTAAAATTTGTTTGGAAAAAAATGACATTTTTTGTAAATTTTCAAATTTCCCGTCGGCGGCGGCGCCCGTACGTCCCGACATCACAGGGACCGGAACACAGAAGCCGGATGCCGGCATTGGCCGGAGGAGATGGCCGGAGACGCTGCAGGGGACGCATCGCGGGAGCGCAGGACAAGGTAAGCTCTGCAGGGAATCCCTATGCAGCGCCGCATGGTAAGCCCGAGTGTAGCTCGGAGTTACCGCTTTTGGTACTGACATTTTACCCCGAGCTACACTCGGGAATACTGCTAGGGAGGTTAAAGGACAAGTTCAGCTTCAGAACATATTACACCAGTAATTAGGGTTTAACATGTACCAGCACATCCACTCTTACCGCTTGATTCCCCCATCCTATGACAGCAGGCGGGGGGTTCTTCTCCTCTGCAGCCATTGTCAAATATGAAATCAGAGCGGCTGTGTGGGGCTCCACCAGCACAGTGATGTCATTAATTCACAGGGATCTGTGAATCAGTATTATTATACAGAATTTATTATTATATGGGATTTCTATAGCGGCAACAGTTTGCTCAGCACTTTACAATATAATGGAAGACAATACAGCAACAATACAGTTCAATACAATATGGTTAGGAGGACCCTGCTCCCTGGAGCTTACAATCTAAGAATCAGTAAACTACAAGTCCTGTCTTCCACTGCAGCAGATAGCTTGTAGTTGAAAATGTACTGTAAATGCTCTAATTAGCATGCTCCTAGATCATTCACACTGTCTTCAGCTTTCTAACTGTAAGCTCGCACAGAGGTTGGGCTCGAAAGCTGGAGGGAGTTTGCAGAACTATGAGATTGCACCCGCAATCCACTGATCACATGTGCAATGCATTGAAGGCTTCAGTAGAAAAGAATAATAAATGCACAATTTTTTTCTCTGTAAAAATATGTGCATTTATTATATTTTACTTAAAAAGGGAACTTAGCCTTTAAAGTTGAAAAGAGTTATGCATGTGGGTGCTAAACATTTTCAGGCACAATACTTATAAGTAAGGATTAAAAATCGGAAAATCAGTGATGGAAAAAGAAAGAATTGTCAGGCCACTGCTAGCAAAGCAAGCAGAATAATTTATACATTAAATAGGATATTCATTTGCAGGATAAATCAATACTTTTACCCCTTTACTAAACACTTGCTCAACCTCAGTATGTTGTTACATTTTGATCACCAATTAACAGAAAGGATGTCCTAGAGCTAGAATCTAAATTAATAAGGAGCCTGGTAAATCTATGAAGAAAGATTAAATAAATTAAAATTATTTACCTTAGAGAGGAGGTGTCTAAAGCTGGCCATACAATATGCCATTTTAATCTACTTCAAAAAATGTTTGCTTTTTAATTTTGAGTGAAATGGATTTTCTGAATTAAAACCACACTCTTTAAAATTTTTCATTCAAGAAGAAAAATTTCCCACTTACTCTTTCAAGTTTTCTTGTAACTGCGGCTGAAAATTATTGTCAGCTTGACCAAGCTAACAGTTCAAAAATTGATGATTGTAAACCCAGAAGAACTTGTTGGATCCTAGATCCTTGACAAGAACACTTGGTCGCAATTTAAAGTGTTACTAAACCCAGGACCCTGTAGTCACTCTATCTGGTCTCCCACAGTACACAGAAAATGCAATTATTTTAGTAAATATAAACTGCTAAATATCTTTTCTTATCAGCAGTTAGAGCTGTCTTGTGACTTCTATCAGTGTCAAGCAGAGCACTGGTTAAAGCTTGTAGGAGGAGTTTTCATTCTCCCCTGATTGTCTTATGAGGCTGCATAACCCCTGACCCTTTGTCTGAACTGTGCTGATCACATGCACTCTCCCAAGAAAAAAAAACTCTCTAGCAATGCACATCAAACTGAGCATATGCAGCTTGCCCCAAGCATCTGTTCTATCAGGAGATAAATTGGAGACTGTGGAAGAAGGGGAGGATCAGAGAAGACATGATGTTCACACAATGCGCAGGATTAACCCCTTAGGTTCCACATTGAGTATAACAAGCCTGCTTTACTGCATACACAGACTGATTTTACTGTTGTGGGTTTAGTAGCACTTCAAGATTGGAGGAAAGTAAGTGTAATCCTAAATTGAGGAGATGGTTCTTTACAATCAGAGCAGCAAAAATCTGCAACTCCCTTTCACAAGTAGTGGTATCAGCTGGGAGTAATGGGAAATTCATAAATCTCCTACATGTTTTCCTCAGTAGGTACAACATACAGGGATATTTATACTCTTTGAAAACAAACTTTGAATACACCGCACACATAAGTTGGACTGGATGGACCAGTGTCTTTATCATGTTTATCTACTGTGTACCTATGCAATAACATGTATTGAACCTTTATGTGTAAATAAAACATCTATACAACGTCATAACACTGAATTCAAGTATATAGTCATTAATTTTAATTAAAAGATTTCTTTTTTACATTCTGAGAGAAAAAAGTAACTTCAGGAAATGCCACCTGTGTATTATATTGTTTACAGTCAGTCTTCCTAGACTTGCATTAAGAGAAAGGAACAGTAAAACACAGTACTTTTGAAGAAGCACTGCTGACCAGGTACTACAGCCTGCCTAAAATGGCAAAAAATATGAACATACCCATACAAATGAATACAAATGTATAAAATAGAAACATGTAACAGTAAAAGCTTTAGTATTCCTGGTTTTCCAGGCCTAATATGTGAAAACAACATCAACTTCCTTATGAGAATTCCTGCCTTTCCATCTTTCTGGTTTACTCACAAGAGTAAATGCCTCAGATAAAAGGTCTTGAAATATAATCTACTCTATCCTTGTCAACTCAGAATAGTCAATGGTTACAAAACTAAACTTTTTCAGCACCCAAGGAAATGCTATGGTTTTGCTGGATGAAGCCCATAGTCCTTAGCCCTGCTTCATCCTCCTACTACCTCCTACAACACCTGTATGATTCCCACAAATATATTGCTTTCATTGGTTTCTAAAGTCAGCGGTGAATGTTTATGTTTATTATGGGGAACTAGGCCTCCTGCGTCCCCTCAATTCCCAGCACACATGTCCTACTGAGGGAGTTCACTTATTGGAAACTCTGTGGAGATCTGGGTATTTTCTATGAACTGCCCTACTATTGGGCATATCTGTTCCTGTGCCCACACCATGTTGTGAGTTTTCCCCTTCTATAAAGCTGTTAAAGTGTTACTAAACCCACAACAGTAAAATCAGTCTGTATCTGCAGTAAAGCATGCTTGTTATACTCACTGTGGAACCTAAGGGGTTAATCCTCTGCATTCTGTAAAAAGGCTGTTTGATCCTTTCTTCTCTGCCCCTCCTCTTGATGAAATGTCCACCTGATACAGCAGCCTTGCTCAACCTTTTCAACACAGAGGAACCCCTGAAATAACTATGTGATCTCAGGGAACCCCTGCAAAAAATTACTATGCCTAAAACTCATGATACAATAGTGTGATGGTCAGTGGGAAGAATGCTCCTAACACATGTGTCATTGGGAAGAATTACCCCCTTACAGATAGCTAAAAAGATTGTTGGTATCAGTAGAAATGTATCTGAGAGTCCAAAATTTCTCATTGCTCAACCTCCGGAGGAATCCTAGTTGAGAAACCCTGTGATACAGACTGAATTCATAGTCACATGCAAATGCTCAATTTGGTGTATTGCTGGAGAGGTATTTTTTCTTGGGAGGGTGTATGTGATCAGCACAGGGCCAATCAGCACTGTCCAGACAGAGGGTCAGAGGTTTCACATCCTCCTAGAGCAGAAAGAAAACTCCTCCTACAAGCTGTAGCCAGTGCTCTGATGAAGAGCAAGACTGCTCTAACTGCTGATGAGAAAAGGTGTATTAGTAGTTTATAATTACTAAAATAATTGCATTTCCATGTTCTGTGTACTGTGGGAGACCAGATATAGTGAATGCAGGGTCCTGGGTTTAGTAACACGTTAAGTCTTAGCTAGGGCAGGGATGTGTTTGTATAGATTTTTTCTTCTTTTTTTTTCTAGGTCACATTGTATGCATCAGCGTTTATTGTGGTGGCTCTCCAAGCCCTGCTATCACTTCATGTCTAGCATTTATCTTACAATATCTTTACAATAGATTATACCACACCTGCAAGAGTCAAGATAGTTTCTTGGAATGCTAGGGAGATAAACTCCAAATTCAAAGGAATTTAATACACTGTTAATTCTTGCAGTATCACAGTTCTCTTAACATTCTCTAACACAGCCGAGTTTCACTCCTGCTCTGAGGCTGTTTAATAACCACAGTTGTGTAACTCCATCTGTGTGATAAGAGGTGTTAACTAGCAGCATGTTATCATTGTGTTAGAGAGTGAAAAGTATGTGGAGAAGGTTTATCTAGCTGCACAGCATCCTGCACATCCTGTATAGGGAAACCTATGATCCACATTAAAGTATCATAGGTTATTTTTCAGAACTGTTTAAAAGTAAAAAATAAACACTTCATATCATATAACATTCATATCTTTTCTAATATTATAAAGTGTATATATATATATATATATATATATACTGTATACACTATATTGCCAAACGTATTGGGGCACCCCTCCAAACCATTGGATTCCGGTGTTCCAATCACTCCGTGCCCATACAATGCTTGTATACAATCAAGCATCTAGGCATGCAGACTTCTTCTATTCTACAAACATTTGTGAAAGAATGGGTTGCTCTCAGGAGCTCAGTAAATTCAAGTGTGGTACCATGATAGGTTGCCACCTGTGCAATAAGTCCATCCATGAATTTCCTTGCTACTAAATATTCCACAGTCAACTGTTAGTGGTAATATAACAAAGTGGAAGCAACTGGGAACAACAGCAACTCAGCCATGAAGTTGTAGGACATGTAAAAGGACAGAGCAGGGTCAGCACATGCTGAAGCGCACAGTGCTCAGAAGTTTGCCAACTGTCTGCAGAATCAGTAACTAAAGACCTCCAAACTTCGTGTGGCTTTCAGATTAGCACAACAACAGTGCGTAGAGAGCTTCATGGAATGGGTTTCCATGGCTGAGCAGCTGCATCCAAGTCTTACTTCAACGAGTACAATGCAAAATGTTCAATGCAGTGGTGTAAAGCACGCTGCCACTGGACTCTAGAGCAGTGGAGACGTGTTCTCTGGAGTGATGAATCATCCCTCTCTGTCTGGCAATCAGATGGATGTGTCTGTGTTTGGTGGTTGCCAGGAGAATATTACTTGCCTGATTACATTGTGCCAAGTTTGGTGGAGGGGGGGTTATGGTGTGGAGTTGTTTCTCAGGGTTTGGGCTTGGTCCCTTAGTTCCAGTGAAAGGAACTCTTAAGGCTTCAGCATACCAAGGCATTTTGGACAACTTCATGCTCCCAACTTTGTGGGAACAGTTTGGGGATGGCTCCTTCCTGTTCCAACATGACTGCACAAAAGTGCACAAAGCAAGGTCCACAAAGACATGGATGAGTAAGTTTGGGATGGAGGAACTTGACTGGCCTGCACAGAGTCCTGACCTCAACCCAATAGAATACCTTTGGGATGAATTGGAGCAGAGACTGAGAACCAAGCCTTCTCATCCGACATCAGTGCTTGACCTCACAAAATGCTATTTTAGAAGAATAGTCAAACATTCCCATATACACACTGCTAAACCTTGTGGACAGCCTTCCCAGAAGAGTTGATGCCATTATAGCTGCAAAAGGTGGGCCAACTCAATATTGAACCCTATAGACTAAGACTGGGATGCCATTAAAGCTCATGTGCATGTAAAGGCAGGTGTCCCAATACTTTTGTCAATTTTGGCAATATAGTGTATATATATAGTGGCAGTGCGGTATCTTGTCACGGTGAAAATCGCGGTGATAACCCAGGATTTTCAACTATACAGGTTGAGGGGCTCCAGGCAGTTCTCTTAATACAGAGGAAACTGGTTTATCAGTTTCCTCTTTGGTTTGTAAAGCCTGTTTTGGGACCTGTGGCCTGGATATTTCTAAGTGATTTGGGAGGGATGAAATCTCCAATCCTGGGACCATGTTTTGAAAGCAGCCAGCGCGCTGATTTCACAGGTGTGTGCAGGCCTTTTTTTGTAGAAGCCTAGCCAGGGTTCTGGGCTCCACCACAGCAGACAGGAGGTTATTGCCCAGGAGTCAGGAGGGCTCCATCTAGGAGAGGTGGGATCCAGAGCAGCAAGTGGCTGTTAGCTGTGTGCAGTAAAAGCCATACTTTGGAAGGAGGCTGTGTGCATTCAAAGAGTCCAACGCTGTGTGCTGGGACTAGCCAGTGGTCTGGGAGACCCATATAAATGGAGGTACTGCTAACCAGCAGGGCTGATAAAGAGAGCCAGGAGGCTGAATATTTTTGTTTGTTTTGATGGTGAAAGCCCCTGTGTGGGAAGCATGTTGTGGAACTTTCTTTTAAATAAAATTGGGCTATAAGGCCTTAAAAGGAATAAAGCGATTGGCTGTGTGCTGAAAAACTCTACCATTTGATGGTAGTTCTCAAAATATATATATATATTTTTTTTTTCCCCCTAATCTGATATTCTCCTAACATCTTCCACCCTAAAGGATCATAGGTTAATCCTCAGAAACAAGCTGTAGGGTTAAAATTAAACAAAACAAATCAATTAAAACATATACACACCTTTATTAAAATAATAAAGTATACAGTATATGCATAAAAATATATTTTTTAAAATTCCTCTGCCATCCCTCTCACCTCTAGCTAACTGCATTCATCTCCAGACACATTCATCCCTGGGCACATTCTTTTTCTCTTTTAGGCTAGGTTCACACTTATACAGGTGGATGCCATTGTGGGAATCGAACCTGTTCCTGCACCTCCAACTACCCGCAGCCAAAGTGCGCTACTCTTAAGTGATGCACAGAGCTGCCATTCATTCTTAATGGCACCCCATGCATCTAAAAAAAGGCAGTGTGTTTGCAGGTGTGGGAATGCGCAATAATTTCTCTGCCACTGCACTTTAAAAAAGGTGCAGGAACCCCTTCCCTAAAATGAATGAGCTGCCATGCCTGTGCAAATGCGGCTTACAGAACAACAAAGGTGTGAGTCTAGGTTCACATCTTTGCAGGTTTGCGGCCCATGTTTGCGCAGGAATGGCAGGCAATTAATTTGAATAGGCTGCGGTACCTGCATTTTCCCCCCAAAAAAACCCCCAGCCACAGATAAATCACATGGTACTTTTCACCAGTGCCTGAGTGCCCAAATGGACAGTCCGCCCCTGTTCCTATACTAACACTGTAGTCATCACAGAGACTACATAGTAAAGTTAAGAGATGAGATATTTGGTTCCTACCTTAGTTAATACGGTTTATTCTGGAATTATCACCCTGATTTGCTGTGAAAAGGCTTAAAACAACTTATCACCCACTTACACAGTTTATTAAATGTACATTCATATACCCTCCCCCCTACTGACCCCGGGCCCTCTGGCGGCGCCTGAGTTTCCAAATGGTCAGTCCGCTCCTGCTCCTTCCATATCCTACTGTTACAGGAAACCCACTTGATGGGTGAGAAATTCATGTTACCCCAGCATTGTGCCTGGAACTTCTTTATATACTGTACGATAAAAATATCACCATACTCTCCAGTTAAACTCTTATTTATGGGTGATTTTTATTTGAGTTTTTTATTTTATCGTCTTACCTAGATATATTACCGTATTTGCGGCGTATAAGACAACTTTTTACCCTTAAAAATCTTCTCAAAAGTCGGGGGTCGTCTTATACGCCGGTATACGGCATACAGACACTTTTTAGGGGGGTGGCGCGTTGCCGCCGCCGCCCCCCCCTTCCCCCATGGAAGGGACACTAAGTACAGGGGTGGGCAGCGGCTGTTTCTTACCTGGTTCCGGTCCCACGACGATCCGGTCCAGGAAGCGCGGCTGCGCCTTCAGTTCAGTCACTGGATGTTCGTGCGGCCTGCTCGGCTCCGCCTCCTCACCAGTGATTGGCCGCCAGAACTGTAGCTCAGAAAGGCACACAGGCGGCCAATCACTGGCGAGGGGGTGGAGCCGAGCGGCCCCGCGAAAATCGAGTGCAGGACCAGCAGGTAAGGTAAGTGGTCAGTGTAGAGGTGCTGCTGCAACCACATATGCTGGCTGCAGCAGCACCATACGAGAACAGGGTCAGCAAGTGTCAGTGGGAGGAATAGTGCCCCCATCATTGGTGTCACTGATACCAATGATGGAGCACTATTCCTCCCACTGATACCAATGATGGGGCACTATTCCTCCCACTGACACCAACGATGGGGCACTATTCCTCCCACTGACACCAACGATGGGGCACTATTCCTCCCCCCCACTGACACCAATGATGGGGCACTATTCCTCCCCCCCCACTGACACCAACGATGGGGCACTATTCCTCCCCCCCACTGACATCAACGATGGGGCACTATTCCCCCCCCCCCCGACACCAACGATGGGGCACTATTCCACCCCCCACTGACACCAATGATGGGACACCATTCCTCCCACTGACACCAATGTTGGGACACCATTCCTCCCACTGACACCAATGATGGGGGCACTATTCCCCCCACTGATACCAATGATGGGGCACTATTCCCACTGATACTAATGATGGGGCACTATTCCTGCCACTGATACCAATGATGGGGCACTATTCTCCCCACTGATACTAATGATGGGGCACTATTCCTGCCACTAATGCCCAATGATGGGGCACTATTCCTGCCACTGATACCAATGATGGGGCACTATTCCTGCCACTG